CTTGTTCCGGTATATCTATCGCTTATTTTTAATATCTATAATAGTAATAGTTACCCCCCTTTTTAGTAGCTTTATATAGGTTTCCGTAGGCCTTGTTCTACTAGAAAAATTATTTTAAATTATTTTATTTACTAATACCGTGCGCTTCCTATTATATAGTACTGCTGTGGCTTTAAAGGTGCTAGTATAACCTAAATAAGCTGCCTCTATTATTTTCTATAGCTATAGACGTTTACCTGCTATATTTATAGGCTGCCGAGTAAGCGTACTGTATACTATATATTTCTTCTTAATTATAGATATACTACGCACGCGGTTTATAGGCAGTAAGCTACCTTTAAAGTAGTATCGGAACTATATTTTCCTTATAGCCTTTGCTATTATCTTATCCGTTTTTAAACGGTATTTTATAAGCCTATAGCCTTGCTCTTTTATATGCTATATAAGCGCTTTTTTAGCTTTCTCTAAGAAGTTATAATACGCTAGCAGTAGCGGCTAAAGGGCTATAGTAAGTGTATTATATAAATAAAGAAGTATGCGTTAATTACTTCTATTCGCCGCTGTATTTGGAAAGTACATCTAGAATTAGTAAATAAGTAAAGCAAGCTAATCGGAGGCTCCGGAGTAAGCCTCCGAGCTAATTAAAAGGCGGTAAAGTAACAGAGGGGTAAAGGGTGTACGATTAGTCGTTAGAGGGTGTACGATTATTTATTAGAGGGTGTACGATTAGCCCTCCCCTAAAACGGAGATAGAAGGCAGCGCTAATAAATAGAAAAATAATAAAATAGAAGGCAGTAAAATAAATAGCAGTATAGTAGAATAAAATAGATATAGAAAGGGCTAATCGTACACCCTTTAACGAATAATCGTACACCCTCTAACGACTAATCGTATACCCTCTACCTCTCTATTACTTCACCGCCTTTTAATTAGCTTAGAGGCTTGCTCCGGAGCCTCTAATTAGCTCGCTTTACTTATTTACTAATTCCAGATGCACTTTCTAAATACAGCGGCGAATAGAAGCAATTAATACATGCTCCTCTATCTATATAATACACTTACTATAGCCTTCTAGCCGCCACCGCTGGCGTATTATAACTTTTTAGAGGAAGCTAAGGAAGCGCTTATATAGTATATAAAAGAGCAAGGCTATAGGCTTATAAAATACCGTTTAAAAACGGATAAAATAATAGCAAAGGCTATAAAAAAGATATAGTTCTAATACTGCTTTAGAGGCAGCTTACTACCTATAAACCGCGTGCATAGTATATCTATAATTAAGAAAAAATATATAGTATACGGTACGCTTACTTAGCAGCCTATAAATATAGCAGGTAAATATCTATAGCTATAGAAGACGATAAAGGCAGCTTATTTAGGTTATACTAGCACTTTTAAAGCTATAGCAGTACTATATAATAGGAAGTACACAGTATTAGTAAATAAAATAATTTAAGATAATCTTTTTAGTAGAATAAGGCCTATAGAAACCTATATAAAGCTACTAAAAAGGGGGGTAACTATTACTATTATAGATATTAAAAATAAGTAATAGATATACCGGAATAAGCTTTTTAATAGCCGTGCGCCTATATAGGCCCTTTTCTATATACTAGAAACCTCTATATTCCCTATAAATAATAGCTATAGGAAGAAGTATATATATAACTATATAACTAACTAAAAGAGCTATATAGATTACCTTTTTTTTGCGTATTTAGATTCTATCGAAATTCTATAGTTTAACTACAATATTATACTAATAGACTGCATATATAAAACTAATAAGTTCGGTATACCCTTTTTATATATAACCGGCGTTATATACACAGGCAATAACTTTAAGATTATATATTATTTTATTCTAAAAGAGAAGAAGGTAAACTATAACTAGGCAGTATAGCAACTCTATAAGCTCTTTTAACGCTATTTTATCCGCCTATATATTTTTCTAACAGATAAGGAATAAGCTTTAAAAAACGCGCTATATAAATAATAGCCTAATATTACACGCCTTTTATGCGTATAGTATATTAAGAAGAATATTAATACTAAGCTAGCTAAGGTATATAAGGATAAACCGATATTCCCTATAGGCTATACTAATGCGCCGATAGAGAATAATACAGAAGAATAGAAGGCAGCTAAGGAAAAAAAGCAGTAAAAGAAAAAGAGTGAATTTATTATCCGTTAGAGCGCTATATAAAAGCTAGAGAACCCTATTTAATTTAATAAGGCCTGGAATAAGCTAATAGATAATTATAAGAAAAGGCCTAGCCTTATAGATTATATAGAAGAGGAGTAGAAGTTATATAAATAGGCCTAGGCTACTTACTATACTTAATAAGCTCGGTATTTTAGAATAATATAAGTATCTGCTTATATCCTATTTCTTAATTAATTTTTAAGCTATCTTTTTATCCTCTTTAGCGCTAGTTATTCTGCATGCTAGCAAACCCCTTATAAAGTTTAGGCTTTAAATTCGCACGCTTTAGTATTAAGATTTAGGTCCAGTAAATATAAATTTAGGTATATAATACTAACCGAGTTTCTCGCAGTGTTATATTACGGAACGAGGGCGCACACGGCCAGCTTAAAGGCTTCCTCTAGGTGTTAAATAGCTATCTATTTAACGTGCTACTTAACATCCAGAACCTTATTCTTAATAGCAAGGCTAAATTTAAGGACTATAAGGCAAAGTAGCACGCAAGGACTCCGCATAATATTAAAGAGATTGAATTCCGTGATCTATTCTAGAAGATTACACCGCAGGCTCTTGCCATCCTTAAGAAGCAACTTAAGAAGGCCAAGTTATCTAAATACAATCCTCTTAACTGTACTTATACGTTCACAAATATATACAGCATGCCATGCGCTTATAAGCTATATAATTGTCTACATCAGGCGCTTGCAAACCATCTAGATCCCGTGCTCTATATACAACCGGAAGAGATAGACCACTATTGGTGGTTTGCTCGGCCAGGTATACAACAACCAATCATTCCGTTTGGTCCATTTGAAGAAGTACAAGATCCTGCTGTTGTTGAGCGTCGACGGGGCCGCCCTGCTGTTGAGAGGAGAGGCCACCATACGTATAATAGTACACAGAGAGAGCCATCAAGGTTTGAGATTGCTTTGGGTACAGGTTTAGCAGCTCGACGTGGAGGTGAACAGGACGGACAACAAGGCACAGCTCTACGACACTTGCCAGCGTCTTTACAGCAAATTCCGGCCATCCCTGTCCGTCAGAATGCCCCTCAGTCGACGGCTACACCTGCTAGGACTGGTATTGATATTTCTCAAATTGATCCGGCCCTTCTTGAGCCTACGGCAGCACCTACGGCAGCACCTACGGCAGCA